TAACTTCAAACAAGCTTCTATCGTTGGTCCTAAATCAAAATATGAATGTATATGTTAAATGTACATATACTTTATGTTGATGCATATAGTAATAGAGCAAATCAGAACTGCAAACATTCTTAAAGATACTTACCAATTTGTGTTGAAGGGACATTGTGTTTAAGAAGAGAGTACACACACAAATGGAGTTCTGGAGTGAATGCTTTCTCTTTCTTGTCAAATAGACTGATGACTTTATTGTCAGCTCCCTCATGCAGCTGCTCCATGAGATAGGAAATCTCATCATCCTTTTCCCTAAGAGTATGTTGAAGCTCATTGACAGTGATTCTGAGGTGATCATTTTCAGCTTGTAGCTCATTTAGAAGTTGTTGGTAGTCTTCTTTTGATGTGTCATCTGATGTCCCCATCCAGTTTTGTACATTTAGTTTTCCAGTAGTCCTCTCTCCGTTTAGTGCGTTTGACAGCTAGATTTGATGATTTCATCATGTAGCACTCTATTTTGCTTTGTTACATCTTCAGATTTTATGTTGAGCGTCTGCATGTTAGATATTGCTTCAATCAACTCAGACTTTAAGGATATTTTCTCCTTCAGCAGATTCTGGTTTTCTATGAACACTGAGTTAGCAATGGGCATTGCTGTAGACAAGGCATCACCGCTAGAGCTGATCAGATATGTAGCTTCGGGCATTTTGGGAGTCACTGTATTTGATACTTTAGGAGGAGCAAATTCTGTTTCTAGAAACTCTGTAAACTTTCTGCTACCTTCAGATTTAGATTTGTTCCTTCTGAGTTTTTCATATTCCGACCACAATCGACCAATAGCCACTTTTATTGATGTCAGATTACAATTATCAGAATGTGATACAATCCACTGGGCAGTTTCGGATGCCCCATGTGCTCTTTTAAAGCTTATGACATCAGAATTTAAAATCCTAGGGGTAGCGCAGGACATCTTTTGATCAGCTTGTTGAATAATAATAGCGATAAGACAGATTTTCCACCAAGTTCTAAAAAAAATTACATTTGTACTTAAAAATGTTTGTTCTTCGTTCTTCCGTATTAAATATTATATATTTGTTATATAATACAGGATTTTTGCATCCCTAATATGAACACAGGCACGCGCCCTGTATTACACACCCTGTATCAGCACCCTTTATTTCACGCTACATCATACCCTTTATTACACCTTTCCGGAACATCTCTGTATTTTTCATTCGGAGTTCCTCGGACCTTTTCCTATTTCTTTCCAAAGTTTATTCAAATTGTAATTTTATCTCATCAGACATATTATGTTATTCAAAATAATTATTTGTTTGATTTATAATAATTTCATTTCGTATCACTGAATGCATTTATTTGCCTTTAAAAAAGATTGAGAAATGGAAATTCAACAAAACAGAACACATTCAATTATTAAAAATTCAGTAATTAATTTACAAGTTTATATATGATTTTTAGGACACTATTTTCAAATATATAATAAAAGCAACAATACAAGATATGGGGTGTGATACAGATTTTCTGTATCACACCCCATATCAACCCTCGACCAATATTAGCCCTCTGGCCTTCGGCCCTCGGGTTGATATTGGAGTCTCGGGTTGATAAGGGGTGTGATACAGATTTTTCCAAGTATTATTCTCTATTTATATAGTTTTTACAACATTTATATTTACCAAGACCTTTACAGCATACAAAACAAAACAAAACAACAAAGAATAGATTTGTTTGATGTACTTCAACAAACCAGTCAAAAGTGCCCCTACCCAATAATGTTTTTTTTCAATGCCCCTGATTTTTTTATTAGTTTAAAATTTTATTTTTATATTTTTTATTATGTATAATTTGTTTACTTGTTTTCTTTATCTAACAAAAATTGACCTTAGATTTTTAAGGTTTGTACCAAAGTGCTCAGAGCGCTTTCATATTCCTGCAACTTTTTAATGAAATACAGCTCATATTTTCCATTTAAGTGAATTCCGTTATATTTTCAGAATGCATGTAATCCAAAATTACATTCAAAAGTCCAAGACATATAGTTTTTAAAAAAAAAAATACCAACATTTTTTTAACGAATGAATTCAACAAGTAAAAGTCATCTACTCTACCCCCTAGATGACTGACACTAATTGAGGTATTGTTATATTTGATTTCTTTTTTACAAAAATGAGGATGGGGCATATATTTTTTTCATTCTGTAAGCTATTGGACAAAAATATTTTTTTCTCACTCGTCTCACCCTGATGATGAATAATCTCTGGTCCCTTAACTGTGCAATGATTTTGTATGTGTTATACGGTAATGGTTCCAACTAAGTGTGAACCAATATACATAATTTTTTTTTTGTTTTTGAAGAACCCACAAATATTTATATAATTTGGTTTATACGGCACTTATGTAGTGTTTGCAGTACACTCTGGACAAATGTAAATATCGTAATTTTTACAAGAAAGAAAAAGTGAAATAACTTTAATAATTAACTGGTGATTTTTTTTTCCTGTTTGAAAAGTTCCACTTCCATGAGTACGTTGTATCTTAATTTTTCTTGGTATTGTACTTGAACTGTGTCATATTTAATCTTTCATTAATCCGTGTTTTTAAAATGTTTCAATCTTATTTATCACTCACAATTTTTTTTCAACTAGTGCATGAGCACAGAGTGTAGTTTTCATAACCAAACCACAATTTGATTTTTTTTTTCATTTTGCTATTTGTTGAATTTATGAATGAAATTATTATTTTTTTTTTTTTTTGTTGTTGTATTGAAATATTTATTTATCTTTTTTTTTTTTTATTTATTTAATCATTTTATTTTTTCTAAATTCCTATTTCAAATAAAGTAACTCCCGGTAATACACTCTGTTATAGTATTTGCTTATACAAAATTATTGAAGAGGCGATAATATCAGTTAAAAGTCGAAAATCCCCCATAGGGTACTCCACATTGAAGCTTTTAAGAGTTGTCCCCCCTTATACGAGGGGTGATCAAAAAGTTCGCGAACTATCTCTATATTTACAAAACCACTATTCAGATCAGAATGAAATTTGGCACACATATAGTCATACACATGTTCTATAAATAACAGATGTTAAATAATGTTTTGCTCCGTGTTTGTGACTTCACAATGTGAAAATGACGTCAATATGTAGGTCACTTGAGACAAAAAATGGTTGACTCAGTCGTACTCGAGCAACGAACGGCTGTAAAGTTTAATGTTTATCTTGGAAATTCTTTTGCAGTAGAATATGAAATTTTGTAGAAGGTTTATGAATACAAAAGACTTACCAGAAGTTCAATCATTAATTGGATTGATTGTTTAAGTAAAGACAGGAAGAAGATTAAAAATGATGTTTGTTCTGTTGCCCAGCGAAATCAAGCCGGGGAAAAGATGTGTCCTTTGTTAAGCAATTTTTTTATGAAACATCGGCAAGTTACAATTAGAAAAATGGCTGAATATCTTAACAATAATATAATTATTAAATCCCTAAAATATCGTTCATTTTAGACGTTAAACATATGAGATATGATAAAAAGAAGGCACCAATACTTTATCCACATTGGATAAACGATGCTCCCGAGACAGAGGACTCGGGTTGTGATGGGTCACCATACTAACTGTGGGAAGGGATATCCTTATCCACCCATCCTATTGCCGAGATTTGGCCATTTCTGACAGATGGACTGTTCTTGTTATAAAAATAACTTGCATGGTAAGAAATGTAAGACTCGGAAAAATCTTTCAGCTTCTCTGAACAGACTGCTACGGAGCATGTCACGTGACTGCCTGGATCACGTGATTTGCGCATGGGCAGAACAATGGCAGGTGTGCATTAAAATCGGAGAGGACTACTTTAAAAAATAATGAACTCTGAAACCTCATTTTATTTCTTTTAAGGAAGTAATTCAATTAGTTCGCGAACTTTTTGATCACCCCTCGTATATCCTTGGATACTGTAAACAAACAAACACTATAAGCTTCAGCGAGATAGCGAATTCGTCAGCCTCATGGACGACGTCATTTTCTTCAATAAAATAAAAAAATGTATGGGGTTATTTTAGAAAGCGCTCCTTAGCGCGGGGGTTTATTTAGGAATCGTGCATATTAATCTGAAGAGGATTAAATTCGATCTAATATTGTAACACATATGCAACCTGTTCTAGAAAAGTGTGAAAAGTTTGTTTGAAAACTACTTACTTTATGCAGTCTTTTATCATGGTAATATTTGCATCTGTAATATACTGTTTGGTATCGTTTTGTTCTGCAAATTCTCCAGCGTCTGTTTTTATTAAACAAAATTCTCACGCACCTTTGTTGTCCTGGAAACAACCGAATGGAAAAGGACAATGGACAATTACTACCTACTATATTTCAGGTGTAGGTTTTGCATTCAAACGTGATTTTCATTTGATGTAAATATAAATATAGCAGAGGTAAATAAAAATAATAAAATGCATTTGACAAAGTTTAATAAATTATTTAATATCTCTATTCTTGATATAATCATTGAGAGGGAAAAAGCAGGTTTGACCCTTCATTTTTAAACAATTGTTTTACACAAGAAAGACTATTTTAAATAAGAAATAAAACTCTTTGTGTTTATAAATATTTCATCACACCTCCTATGTTTTTCTTGTTATTAAATTAACTAAGATGATGATAATTTAATCCTGGCTGTTCAATTTTGTACATGCCTATGTATGGTTATTATCGATAGTATAAAACGCGTTTTTAAAAATCTAATAATAAAAGCATGCCAGGAATATTTTCTTACCCTATTTTCCGAATTAGATCATATGTAAGACGAGTGCATTCTCCGATATATCTGTTTCAATGAAACCCGCCTGTGTTCGACTTACAAGTTTTGTAATTTTATAATATTTATTTATTTTATTTATTTGAAATAAGTAAATTTTACAAGCAAAGAGTAACATTCAGGCGCTATTTTTCATGTTTATGCCATCATATGCGTATTAATTTATCAAAATTATTTTACAGGAACATGCACTTTTTTACTTTGGCAAGTATTCTTAGCGTTTTTACGTGGCAACGAAAAATTAAGCGGTAAGTAAATTTCACTTGTCTGTTCTGTTAATTTTTTTTAATCAACAATACCGACCGGACACAACCTAAGCGAACCCTGGGTTCGCTGCGCGTTCGCTTGGTGCCCGCTATTTAAAAAATTGGGTGCGCTCTGGGTTCGCTGCGCGTTCGCTCGGGGTCAGGTCTGGGTCCACTATTGTTGAGGCTAAAAAGGGGGCGGGGCTTAATTTATACGTAAAATGTTTACTGCGACATCACACAAAAGTAGGAATTATTCAAAATACCAGAAAATGAAATAACTTACGATTTTGAACTGTGTAAGAGGAATGAACTACATCAACACTTACCACTGCATTCATTTTTGTCGCAACTTAAATCCCACACAACAAAATATCAACAAGTCACTGATCGCAATGCACTTGTCAAATGACGTCATCATGGAAAAATCTGACGCTTTTTATGTGTAGTGAGAGGCAGATCGAGTGATATTTTTAGTGAAAAATGCATTTTATTATTAAACAGAATATCATTTAAGGAATGAAGCTTAGTTTAACCTATGTTATACGACATAACATAATTTGGGGCTGTTTATAAAAAAAGCGTAAACCTTAACGTCTTTTTCAAGTAAAATATCCAAATATGAAACAGATGTGTCAGACTCTGTGGTATCTTTTATCTCAAGGTCACGCTCAAGCTCAAGAAAATATTCCTTAACTTGAAAAGTGCTGCTGCTTTTGTAAAATCGAGAGCATAACTAAATAAATACATAGAATGTTTCGTAAAGGTCACACATATTTCAACTTGTGCCTAATTACTTAAAATTTAAACTGATAAAATGTGAATTCTGTTTGAAGCAGCAGCACTTTTCAGAATTTACAGGATACGCAGAAACAATTCATCACTTAAATTTTCTCACCTACTTACCGACCCAAATTTTTTATCCTTACTCGGGAGAGGGCAACCAAACATTATTTTAAAGCTGGTTCAATATAAGTTTTGCGTTTAAACGCAGTAATCTTTCCATTTAAGTATTCTTTTCGCATTTAAACACAGTGATACTGTAGTTTCAAAATCAGACATCAATCAGCCAAAGCTCATAATTACTAGGATCCGACACTTTAAAGAAGAAACGTTTGGTTCTGTGTCTTTTTGCAAAATGTTCCGCTTTTTTAAAATTGTAGTAAACAATGGTATCCTAGCAACCAGAATGACTTAAACGTATTAGAACCCAACACTTTTAATGTATCCTTTGATCAATTGCGAATCACAACTAATTAAGAACGTTTAAGTTGTTTCAATGGTTTTAATAGCACTTGTCAATTTGGTAGTGCGCATCGATCATTCTGTTTTCATTTGAGTTTGAGTTTGATCTCATTTGATTCCACCACCAATGTTCTCGTGTTTACTGTATGCAACCATAGAAGAAGATTGTGAATATATATTTATTTAAGTCTAAAAACTTAATTATGTTGTAGCTAATTCCAACATTTCATCAGTCGTTCCCTGAACCCCTTTATACACGGGTTAAACTTTGTGACCGCAATGTAGGGAATAGTTTTAACCATTTTTTCTTCATTAGTATTTTTTTTAGAAGATCTTTTCTAATTGTTTGCAGAAATTGTTTTCAAAGTAGAAAAAAAATAACAAAAGAGAAAATGTGATTTGTGATTGTAAGCAACTGACCAAAACATCATTAGGAATATAGAAATCTAATAAGTTTTAGAAGTCTCGTTCTTAGGTTGCCTTTGTTTTTAAAACCCGACAAAAGATTGCGTTTAATCGCAATCTTTTGCGATTAAACGCAAAGTGTTTTGCGTTTAAACGCAATATACATTGCGATTAAACGCAATGTTTTACGTTTAAACGCAATAATTATTGCGTTTAAACGTAATAAAAAATATTTCTTTCCCTGAACTGGCCTCAATAGGCTTCCGTAGTACTATGATATTTCAAATAAAATTACAGTAATTTGATAATGTAATTATAGTTTTATAAAAATAGATTCAGTTTAAAAAGGCATCTATTTCTTCACTTCTATATTTCTTAATATCTTCGTAGTACGCCTTTTCAGTGTTGCGTAGAGCGAACCCGTGAAGCGGACCCCGTTTTATCCTACCGCCTGGAAGCCCCGCCCTTTGTATATTCGAAATACACAGAACAGTAGTTCAAATTGTTCTTTGTCGCTCAGTAGCGATAGGAAGCACGTATACATGTAAGTAAGGAACAAACGGAGGACGTTAATAAAATTACAATAATTTAACCCTAGATGTATTTTCTACATTATCACTAAGCGAGAATGGATTCGGCAAGACGAAAATCTGCATTGCAATCTTTTGAAAGGACAATTTTTGTGTTTGTTTTTTATTTACATAAATATTTTTAATAACTGAGTGAACAAGGGTTGTTAAAAATATACTGGGCCGGGGACAGCAATATACAGGAAAAATAGTTGTTAACTTTCAGGAATGTTGTATATAAGTAAGTAAGTAAGTAAATGATTTATTATAGTGACATGTGTTATGTACAATTAAAACAGCAAATATACCAACAAAATGCCCATGGGCCACAACGCTCATCTGAGTAACTTTGACCCTGCTGTTCTTCACCAGACTTTCCCTGATGTAATACCTACTGTGGCCCCATCCTATCCCCAGGGGTCATGATTTTAACAATTTGTAATCTGCGCTACTCCATGATGCTTCCACAAAAATATCAGCATTTCTGGCTCAGTGGTTTTTGAAAAGGAGATATTTAAAGATTTTTCGTATATATTACAAGTAAAACATGGATTCCCTATTGTGCCCCCTACCCCTGGCGGTCATGATTTTATCAATTTAGAATCTACACTACCCCAGGATGCTTTCACAAAAGTTTCAGCTTTTCTTGCCCAGTGTTTTTTACAAAACGATTTTAAAATGTTTTTTTGTATGATTGATTGATTGCATGTTGTTTTACGTCCCATTCGAGAATTTTTCACTCATATAGAGACGTCACCATATACCGGTGATGGATTTCAAATTTTGGCCTTTACTCGGCACTCAGGGCCATTGAGCAGTGAGGGATCTTCATCGTGCAAACGCCTGCCGTGACACGGGGCCTCGATATTTAAGGTCTCATCCGAAGGCTCAGCAACATTCACTTCAAAGTGCCGAGCGCATGGCGAAGGAACAGTTGCTACCTATGTTATCGACTTAGGTCAGTCGTGGCCGAGATTCGAACTCACGACCTCGCGATCACGGAGCAAGCGCTCTACCGACTGAGCTGCCGTGAACGATTATTTTTTTTCTATATATTTAAATGTAAAACTTGGATTCCCTAATGTGGCCCAGTCCTACCCCCTAGGGTCATGATTTTAAAAATTTAGGATCTACACTACCCAAAGATGCGTTCATATAAGTTTCAGCTTTTCTGGTCCATTGGTTCTTGAGGAGATTTTAAAAGATTTTTTTCTATATATTTCAATGTAAAGCTTGGATTTCCTTTTTTGGCCCCGCCCTATCCCTGGGGATCATGATTTGAACAATTCAGAATCTCCACTACCCAAGGATGCTTCCACATAAGGTTCGACTTTTCTGACCCAGTAGTTCTTAGAAGATTTTTAAATATTTTTTTCTATATATTTAATGTAAAATATGGATTCCCTATTGTGGCCCCGCCCTACCCCCGGGGGTCATGATTTTAACAATTTAGAATCTCCACTACCCCAGGATGCTTCCACATTATTTCAGGTTTTCTGGCCCAGTAATTCTTGAGCAGAAGAATTTTTAATGACCCCAATCAGGTGAGCTAATAAAAGGAACTTAAACACCAGGCCCATCTGGCCTTTTAGTCACTTTTAACAATATAACATTCAATAAGTGATATTACGCATTGCGTTTATTATATATAATACACTGTCTCTAAGTATATGCTGAGTATATGAATTTTCCGGTTTGTCTTGGGAAATTTACTTTAAAAAGTTGGTTTTGTCCAAATCTGACATATTGATATCTATTGAAGTTGGTTTAAATCCAATACTGGTAAAAGATATTCTCTAAAATTGGAATATGATATACAGTGAAGCAAAAAGTGGCATTCATCTTCTACACTATTTGAAGAACATAAAGTACAGAGTCTATCAGATAAAGCCTCCCCCTTATACTGCCTGTTTCAATTCTTGTAGGTAACACACCACATCTAAATTGCGCAATATAGAACAATGACACTTTGGAATATCCATAATCGCATATTTCTCTGTTTGAAAATCACTATTTATGGCTCGGTATGTTCTAGGTTTTTGGATGCTTTGGAGTTCTTCATTCCAGACTATTAAACAATTTCGACGAAGTTTTTAAGTTACAGAATTTTTTTTCGTAAGTCTGTCGTCCGGCATTGTAACGAGTCGATTACATAGGCGTATAATATTCAAATGATGACGATAAACTAAAGGGAGCCAACCAACTTCTTTTTGAATAGCTAATATTGGGGTAAATCGATGCACACCAAGAAAGTACCGCAACGCATGATGTTGTAGAGATTCAATTTTTATATGATGTTTATCGTACCCCCAAACTCTACTGCAGTAGTTCAAAATAGGTGCGACTCCGCTCAGATACATTTTTAATATGTTCTGAATCCTACTGATTTGTTCGTATGTAGTTTGGATATAACAGCCACTAGTGCGCGTCCACCCGATTTCGCAGGATTTTCGCTGTTATTCTTGAATGTGGAAAATTCTTCAAACAATACACCAAGATACTTGTAAGATGTTGAAAAATCAATACGATCTTCTCCCAGGTTGAATACATGGTCACTTCTTTTTTGCTTTTTTTCCCCGGAAGTGCACTACTTTAGATTTTGTAGAGTTTATACACAGTCTCCACTTCTTACACCAGCTAGAGACAACATTAAGCATTGTGTGCATTCAACCTAATTTTGCGCAATCAACGCTATGTCGTCTGCGTATAGAAGAACGTTCAATTTGTTGGCACCGAATTGAATTCCATTGTTTAAGTCTTTTAATTGTACAGCAAGATCGTTGATGAACAAGGCGAACAGCGTTGGTGAGAGATTATCTCCCTGTCTAACTCCCGATGTACAGTCAAACCAGTCGGTATATATTTGTTTTATTAAATGACTATGGATTGATGACAAGAATACAAAAAATCAGGTACATTTACCCTAATATTTATAAAGGAATAAATATAAACATTTCTTTTTTTTCATGTCTCTTTTTTTCAATTAAATATTGAATCATGTTATAATTAAAAAATAAGAGGCAACCCAATTTACGAGAAAGATATTGAAATGATTTAATTGCTTGTTTTGTACAGTTTTGGCCATACATGCTCCAACTTTTTTTCCGAAAAGGAAAATCATAACATCTATATGTACATTGTAATAATACGTATTGAATTCTTTTACATCGACTTTGTTCATGCCCCCCCCCCCTCCGGACAAAAAAACCGTTACAGTAAACATAGCATCAAGGAATTTGATCACTGGCTTTTAAGCGGTATGAGATTAAACATAATTTTAAATTTTATATGTTCAAAAATTGTATCCATACCAGCTAACTCAAGGAGTGCGGGAGAAGGGGTGTGGAAGATGTAAATATAAGGGGAGCTATACTTAAGTATACCATGACCATGTTAGCGGGATAAACCCTTTGAGCAAATGTCGGTTAAAAACAAGACGCTTCACTGCTCTTTACACTCCAAAATAACTCTTCAGCAGCTAGATGATTATACATATATATACATAATGGCCACTGCTAACATGTACCTATCAAATATCAAATATATTTACAAATCAAGGTAACTAAGAAGAAAAAAAGATTTCAAGACGTAGAAATTCAAAATGCAGATTACAACGTGTCAATGAAAAAAAATATGTTCCGTAATGAAGTTTAGACAAAAAATGTAGATTTCAAAGTTCAATGAAAAAATATATTCTCGTAATGAAGTTTAGACAAAGAAATACGATCTACAAATCATATACAGTTGAACTTCGGTATCTCGAACACTGATAATTCGAATACCATGGATATGTCGAAGTGATTTTGAAGTCCCAAGCACTTATTTCTTAAGTATTTTACCCTGGATATCTCGAATCCTCGGATGTCTCGACGTATTTTCTTGGTCCCTTGAAGTTCGAGATAAAGAGGTTTGACTGTATAATAGATCTAATGTTTTTTTCTGATTTACGTACATGTACGTGCATGTATAGGTAGAGGTAAATGTTTTAATCTTTTTTTTTATTATTTCTTATATAGATGTAAATGTAATTGGAAGAATAAAATAAAATAAATAAATTTATTACATTTTCATTTAAAAGTGATATTCTCTCACAGTGTGAAAAGATACCAAAATGATATTCTGTCGCGGTGTGATAGGATATCAAAGTAAGTAAAAAATAATTTTTGGCCTGTCATGAGATATAGTAACTAAACCGTCTTAATAGAGACTAAAACGGCCAATTTCTTCCCAAATATGTTGCTACATGAACAATCCATGTTACTGTGAAAAGATAACAAAGTGATATTCTGTCACGGTGTGAAAGGATATCAAAGTAAGTAAAAAATAATTTTTGGCCTGTCATAAGATAGAGATAGTAACTAAACCGTCTTAATAGAGACTAAAGCTGCCAATTTCTTCCCAAATATGTTGTTACATGTAAAATCCATGTTACAATGTTTTCAATCTCACAACTCCTAAGCAATGACGTCTCAAATACTGAACTATGGTGTCACAGCCTGTGACAAGGTGTTAAGAAAACACAGAGGCAAAGGGAAAATCAATAAAAATGTAATAAACAGAAAAATCAATGTTTGTAGTTGGATATGGAATTTATTCACTCGTGAGACGGGTTTTTCTTTTTAATACTTCCACTCGTGAAATAAATTCCATATACAACTACAAATCATCGAATATCCTCTATTAACTAAATATTGAATGAATATATGTTTCTTAAGAAATGAAAAAAAAATAGATAAAAAGTTTAATTGTAATATTTTCAGTTAATCTCCGTTGTTTTTTAAACAACTTGTCTGAAAAAAATGTAATTTATGATTAAAAATCTGTATATATTATGTAATTATTTGACAATTTGTTGTTTTCTAGAGAAATATAATTTATAAATATCAAGTACATAAATAAAAATAAATCTAAATTTTTACATAAACACGGATCGCTTATACTGTATGTGTACAGTGTTTGTACACCGAAATGCCAACCGACATGCTGACTGGTAGACGCGCTGATTGGTTAGCACGTAATCCTGATTGACAGCTCTGTTACGTAATAGCGAACACCAGGTTCGTTTTCTGGGTGCGCTACTGAAATCAGATTTCGCTATCGGCGTTCGCTCTGGGTTCCGCTCTAGCAGACCCCGACCGAACCCGGGGTTCGGTTGGGGTTCGCTTTCTGTTAGATTGTGTCTGGTTGGTACTGTACATACAGATATCAAACACAGGCAGGTTTCATTAAAAACAGGTATATCGGAGAAATTACTCTTCTTATATATGATCTAGAGGAAGAAAATTTTCTTGGCATACTTCTATTATTAGAAATATATCCTTTAGGGGGATGGATGGGATCTTTTTTTCTTTCAGATAATATTTATTATTTCATAATGGCATTGAATGGTGTTATTATATCCAAAAACCCTTCGAAAAAGTATTGTTATTCTTCCAATTAATTAAATAAAGCTTCTTTGAAATTGTCTTTACTCAATAGAATTGCAAGAACCCACTTATGTTCAACTATGTCTCGGTCATTTTTATGCCCCCGGATCGAAAGATCCCGGGGGTATATTGTTTTTGTCCTGTTTGTCTGTTTGTCTGTCTGTCTGTTGTCAACTTTAACCTTGCCCATAACTTTTGATCGGATGGAGCTATGACTTTCATATTTCTCATGTGTATTCCTTGTAACAAGACCTTTCTTTGGGTACCACCATATTTGACCTTTTGACCTTGACCTTGGAGTTTGACCCACATTTGCAAAATTTTATGAGACTTTAACCTTGACCATTACTTCTGAACAGTTGGTGCTTGGGGTTTCAAACTTCACATGTGTATACTTTGTGACAAGGCCTTTCTTTGAATACCAACAACTTTGACCTTTTGACCTTGGAGTTTGACCTACTTTTGAAAAACTTTAACCTTGGCCATAACTTTTGAAAGGTTGGAGCCAGGGCTTTCATACTTCACATATGTAATCCTTGTGACAAGACCTTCCTTTGGATACCAACAACTTTGACCTTGACCTTGACGTTTTACTTACATTTATAAAATTTTAACCTTCGCCATAACTTTTGAACTGTTGCAGCTAGGGCTTTCAAATTACACAGGTATATTCCTCGAGACAAGACCTTTCTTTGGTACCAACTTTTTTTTTTATCTTTTTGCCTGGATTTTGACTTGCATTTGAGAAACTTTAACCTTCGCCATAAGCTGCCATACGGGGGCATCAGTGTTTCACAAACACATCTTATTTTCTTTCTTTATGTGGGATAAATTATTTTAATTAACCGTGCTATATTTAATGTCACAAAAATCTTTAAACAACAAATTTATAGACTGGGTTAGATTTTGAGCGATAATTTGCGAGTATTTAAAGCAGAGACGCTTAAATATGATATTTTTGTGATATCCTGTATGTTATTAGACGAAAATAATAAATTATCCAAAAGAAATCTTCAGAAAAAAAACTTTTTATATATTCTTATTTTAGAATGTACGTGTGAAATGGGCTGTTGTTGCAGCAGACATATCGACTTTAAAGGTTATTTTAATATTTGTAATTTCTAATTTTTCCCATCATTTTTATCAGAAATGGTCATAGAAAACAAGCAGTAATAAAGTTCATGTTTTTTGTATTAGCGATCAAATGAATAAAGTATTTTTTTTCATAAAGCACGATGGGTAATAACACCTAGCAAAATTTCTTTATTATTTTGTATTTAGATACTCTTTCTTCTTATGAAATACACTTAAACTGAAAGACAAAGTATTTTGAGATATTCTGCATACCAAATGAAAATATTGTTAATTAGGTGTACATCGATCAAAATTAGTAAAGCATTATACTGAAATACTGTATTTTAGCAATATACATGTATAAGTCATCGTATCCGAGGAAACTTTTCAAGTAAATCATAATATTTAATAAAATGCTAATTGTTTGTATTAAATTCATATAGTTTGGATGGTGTATGGTATATCTTTTAAACATTACAGATGAAGACCAAAGTGTTAATAAAGTTTCATTAACAGGTGAGAATAAAATATTAATTAATACGTAAAGTTTATCTTCTGACAAACTGTTGTAAGTGGTTTTACAGAGTTCATTCTATTTATAACAAACAGTAACATTTTTTTGAATTATGCATTACGGTTACGGGAAATTTTCTGAAATCGTATTTACATGTTCAACATAAAATTCATTAATTACATTCTCTCCCACATTCACATTTTTAGAAATCACGTGTATCCACATTTCAAATTTGTGAAATACCGTTCACGGTAGCTCAGTCGGTAGAGCGCTCGCTCTCTGATCGGGAGGTCGTGAGTTCGAATCTCGGCCGCGACTGACCTAAGTCGATAAAAAAAATGGGTAGCAACTGTTCCTTCGCCATGCGCTCGGCACTCTGAAGTGAGACCTTAAAAACCGAGGCCCCGTGTCACGGCAGGCGTTTGTACGATAAAGATCCCTCACTGCTCAACGGCCCTGAGTGCCGAGTAAAGATCAAAATTTGAAGCCCCTTCACCGGTATATGGTGAAGTCTCTATATGAGTGAAAAGTTCTCGAATGGGACGTAAAACAACATACAATCAATCAATCAATCAAATTTATAAAAGGAAAATGTCACTGGGATGAAACATAGATTTACCAACTTTATGCTTTTTCAAGGTCAAAAGATGCTTAAAGCCCTTGGAGCCTTCCAAATAAAGATCGATCACCTTGATAAGAAGTTACATAGAATATCACATACCACAAGAGGCCCAAGGGGCTTAACGGTCACCTGAGAACAATACAACAATTTAGAGGATCCATTAACTGATAAATGAAGCTTTGTTGCCCAAAAGCAAGGAAAATAGTATGATTAGCATCAACAAAATATTTGGTCTAGTATCTATCTGTCACCCATTTATCACTATTACCATGCAAACTATTAACAAAATGTCTATTTTTTAACCCCATATTATTACTTCTCACATTGGCCTCTCTTGGTCTTTGAAGAACATTTAAAAAGATAAGTTATTTTTGTCTCATTTTTATCCATCTATTATTATTCCAAGTCTACCTGATCATGAAAACTATGAAAGTACTTTTTGTATGATACAATAAATATTCTTGCATATTTCTCTTATTTTATAAACCTTTCAAATACATTATTAACAGTGATTAGTGTTCAAAATTCTGGTAAAAATACCCTTGCACTTTAAATCTTTTATTCTGTTTGCCTCGAATATGCCCAGAAGCATAGAAGACTTTCAAAGAAATGCATTTTCACTATATTATCAAATAAATAAAGCCCCACCCTTACACCAGAACATCTGACCCAGGGGCCAATTTTGGAAGAGGCCCTCTTGCCCATCATAACTATGTACATGTACTTAGTTACTGTATTTATTACCCAGGAGCAGAGAAGAAGATTTTCAATGAATTAAGGTCAAGATCTACTAAATGAAGAGTGCCTACAGATTTCTCAAATTTGAGAAACGAATTTCTCTAATAATCTTTTACAATTATAGCTTAATAAATTAAGATGTATCGATACATAATTTTTAGATAAACTCGATGAAAAAACATATTTTAAACTGTCCTTTTCAATGAAAAATGAAGAAAATCAGGTGTAAAAATGAGAGTTTTCTCCATCTCAGACATAGAAATGTATCTATATTGCCTACAGACTCTCATATCTCATATCTTCTTGACCTTTACTTTAAAATGATATTAAGCTGAATATAGGTATCTGGGTTCCTTTTTACATGGTTTCAAATTGAATTCTATGAAATACGTCATTTTCTACTTAATTCTGTTATAGCCGTAAAGTACGGGAAAAATTAAGTTTAAATCAATTATGACGTCATAATTGATATAGTACCAAAACATAGTCTAAACTCATTTGCTAGATCTTGACCTTAATGTATTTTCACTATATAATCAAAAGAGCCCCGCCCTTACACAAAAACCCCTGACCCTGGGGTCATGAAATTCACAATATTGGAAGAGGCACTCTTGCTCTTCATAACTATGTACTTAGTTACTTTATTTAATACCCAGGAGCAGAGAAGATTTTCAAAGAAATAATGCACTTTCACTATATAATCTATATAGCCCCACCCTAGCACCAGAACCCCTGACCCTGGGGCCATGAATTTCACAATTTTGGTAGAGGGCTCAATGCTTATTACAATCATGCCACTAGTTTGACTGCTTGATGTCCAGGAGTAAAGAAGAAGATTTTTAAAGATTGCATTAATTTTGGTGGTTTTAGCCCCACCCCACAGGCCCCAGGGGGACAGGGACCATGAAATTCACAATTTTTGTTCCCCTTCACCCATAGATGCTATATGCCAAATTTGTTTGAAATTGGTTAAGCGGTTTCAGAGAAGAAGCTAAAAATGCTCAAATGTTCACACACGACGCACGCGACGGACGAAAATGGATAGCAATATCCTGAGTGATTCAGGTGACCTAAAAATTCATATGATTTGTCTTATCAACCCGAGTGGCCCGACAATATAAGGCCCGAGATTTGATATGGCATATGATATGAATTTTAGTATGTATTATGCTGTTCATATTTTTAACATATTGAATACGTGAGTTCGCATTTATAAAGCCATTTAAATGTGCTGTGTACATACATAACCTTTTTTTCTTTGAAATCTCATGGAACTACTTTGTCAATAAATTTTAGTGCACGAAATATATTACGTATATATTTCAATAAAATCAAGTTAACGAACCTTTAAACTGTTTAAAAACATTACATTTGGTTTGGTATACATGTAGAATTTTTCGGACCGATCATTGAGATAGGGTGTTTTGACGTCATCCGTATTGCATAATGTGGGAATCCGTGTTTTACTACTAAGTATAAAATTAAATATGTGCTCAGTTATGATATCCAAGGAGTAAGTAATTTTTAGCGAGTCTGATGATATTAAAATCTTAATACCACAGTTTCCTCTTGGAAAAATAAATTACATTTATAAATCATAGTATACCGACTTTGGTATACCGATCTAGTTGTATGTAGCATAATAACTGTGCGTTAGCTAGGGAAGAGCAGTGATAACATAAGAAATTGTTGTATCAATAGAATTTCTAAAGAGGGTGTGACGGTACATTGGTTTGTCCCCTGCTCATATATTCGCCGGCAGCTTTGATTTTATGTGCAAATTAGCAAATATACATGTAATTGCATGTATTGTAGAGCATTAGCACATTAACGCAGGAAGAAAAAAAAATATTCTTGCAACAATGTGGAACTATGAATATTGATTAAACCGTGAAGTTAAAGACTTCCTCTTTCCAAATTACATAACGTCAATTGGGAATTTTTAGTCTATAATCTAGGGAAAACGCACTTTTTATAGAATTTTATTTTTTTCTCTTCAAGTATTTTGAACATTTACAGAAAATGGTGAACACAGCTGTTGGAAATTGTACTTTAAGATTATTATTATTATTATTATTCATTTATTTATTTATTTTATTTATTTATTTATTTATTTTTTTTTTTTTTTTTTTTTTTGATATTATTGTTTTAAATCATGTATACATTGGTTTCTAATAACGTATGGTTAAAAATGTAGAAAAGATAAGTTTTTGATTGTAAGTTGAAAAACGTATATTTCTGTTGATATGGAAATTTCTATACATTCTTATAGTAAAACTGATAAGTAACTTTCAGCGACATCTAGTAGTCTAGGTTCAAGTTAATTGGAGAAAAGAATTACAAAATGCGAAAGGTGTTGAAATTTTCTTAATTGATACCAATCCTACTCTCTCTCTCTCTCTCTCTCTCTCTCTCTTTAAAAAAAACAAATAACTAAATAATCTAGTCAGATTTTGATTAAGAAATGACTCCTTTTTATCTGTAATATGATGTGAACAATGTTACTTTTGTTTCTTCCAATTCTGGTCTCGTTCACCACAACCCGAGTCCTCTGTCGGAAGCGTTGTTTATCCAGTGTGGATAAAGTATGGGCGCCTTCTTTTTATCATTTCTGATATGTTTAAAGTCTAAAGTAAACGATATTTTAGGGATTTAATAATTATATTATTTTGAAGATATTCAACTATTTTTCTAAATGTAACGTCCGTAAAAAATTGCTCTTCTAAGGGCACATCTCTTCCCCAGCTTGCTTTCACTGGGCAAAAGAACAAACATTATTTTTAACCATCTACCTTCCTTCACTAAAACAATCATTCCAATTAATGATTGAACTTCTGGTAAGTTTTTTGTCTTCATAAACCTTGAACAAATTATTATATGCTACTGCAAAGGAATTTCAAAGATACACGTTAAACTTTAAAGCCATTCGTTGCTCGTGTACAACTGAGTCAATCATTTTTTGCCACAAGTCACCTACATTTTGACATCATTTTCACATTGTGACGTCACAAATAAGGATCAAAACATTACATAACATCTGCTATTTATAGAACGTGTATATGACTAAATGTGTGCCAAATTTCATTCTGATCTGAACTGTGGTTTTCTAAACATAGAGATAGTTTGCGAATTTATTGATCACCCCTCGGAT